ACCGGCGACCACTCCAGCGGCTCTGCCCTAGGTGTCCCCGATTCAGCCGCTGGTCAGTTTTAGCAGCGGCTGAATCGGGGAAGCTGGGGGCAGAGCAGATCCAATGGTCCAGCTGCCCAGAGCACTTCCGGGTTTCTGATGGTGCCGGACCATCAGGAGTGCCGGACCATCAGAGTTTTACTGTATATTAAGTATGTTTGAGATTGACGGTTGAGAATGATCTAAAATTAAAATATGACTTAGCTAAGAAAAAGTTTTTCTTAGCCATCTAGATATCTATTTTAACATAGCCTGACTGCATAGCTGTATAATTCTGTTTTGGAAGAACATAGAAGAGGTTTCATGTATTCCCACAGACAATCAGTTAAATTTTTGCCATTCACTTCATTGGCCTCAGGTATTCAGCCAATGACAGTGCAAATGAGCATCTCCTATTTTACAGTTACAGCTTTCTCTTTGAGAGCTGGGTGATTCTCAATATTGTCTAGAGGATGACAATGTGGGTAAAGTAGTATCTTTAATTGAACTAAAGCTGTCTACATTCAGAACTGCGGCAGCGCTTTAACATGACAGGTAAACCACTTCCATGAGGAGAGTAGTTAACAGCGCTAGGAGCCTGTTTACACAGATGCTTTACAGCACTGGAACTTGCTGCATTCGAGCAGGGGACGAGGAGGGGAGAGGTTCACACCTTGAATGAGAAAGTCACAGTGCAGTAACTTGCCAGTGCAGACAAGCCCTCACTTCTGTTGATGGAAGAGACAAGCTTGTGAGCTTGACAGAACTCTCCTCAAGTCTGGAAACCAAAACCAATCCTCAGCTAAATATAAGGCAGAACAGATTATTAAACACAATCAGTTGCAAGAAGCCACTTAAAACTGAAGTAGGCTACTAACACATCTACAATTATAGGACAAAGGAGGATTAGTAGTTACAAATAATTGCAATGAGCCTGAAAACCATCGTCTCTGTTGAGACCATGATTATATCTAGCAGAGTTATCAATTTAAGTTTTCTTGCTTGTCTTTTTGTGGTTGCCTTTGAAGATAAGGACTGATGGGTCAGTTATGGAGTGATCACTTTGTGAAGTTATTCCCCCATGGGTAACAGGTTTTTTGTTGTCTTTTACCATTTTTCATTCAAGAGTATATTGATTGTCTGGTTTCATCCATATAGTGCTTTTTGGGGCATTTGAAGCACTGACTGAGGTACACCACAAATTGCAATAGGCATATGTAAAACCCACAGATCCTGAAAGATGTTTTGAAGCAGGTATTGATCAGTGTACTAATGGAGATGTCTGCAGGTTTTGCATCTGTTGTTCTGAATGGTGTGATGCCACTTTGAGTTGTCTTCTCCTGGTCTGTGGGAAATTTCCTTCTACTGATGAGGTTGGCATGGTTGGGAGGCTGTTTGAAGGCCAGAGGATGGTGTTAAGGATAGGGATGTGAAAGGGTAACCGTGTATATGAGTTTGGGCTCATCATTTAACCTTCACAGTTACACACAGGCTCCTGGTATGCACAGGGAGCTGGCTTTTGGCTCCCTGCACTCGCTGCTTCTCAAGGAGCTCCCTTCTTCTCCGAGTGTAACCATGCAACCACTGAAAATTTCAGCTGTTACATGTTTAATTGATTAAACACATTTTAACATCCTTAGTTCAGGAAATATTTCTTTCAGGATGTAATCCTCATCAAGTATGGATTGTAATTGATGATACTCATGGTTTTCACTGGGGGACAGAATGAGACAGCAAGGAATGTACAGTACATGCAGGTTCTTTTTCTGGAGTGAAGAATGTTCTCTCAGGGTATTTGGGTGGTCCTTTCATGACATGATCTCTTCTCTGATGGAGTGTCCTTGTTTGGTGAAGGTGGTTTTATGATAAGGTGTGTATCCCAGACATTCTCCCCAGAGCATATTCTGTGATATTTGAGTATCTGGCTATAGAAAACAGATGTATTGGTGTGTCTGAGATAGCTCTGCATCTGTGGAAGTAAGTATGATGATACTTATAGCTCACTAACCCTCCTTCATCCAATGATTGCAGAGGTGTTAATTGCCTCCTTCATTTTAAGTGTGTTCTTGCAACATGTGTTAATAACTTTTAGGTAACAACATGTCCTACCTTGTATTGAGCTATGAGACTCTGGCCTTGTCTTCTCTACTGCAGACCATCCATCCAAGTTATGCAACTTTAGCTATGTGAATAATGGAGCTGAAATCAACGTACTTAGATCTACTTACTGCCCTGTCTTCATCACAGTAAGTAGACAGTTTGATACTCTCCTGTCCCCACCTTCTATGCTTCTCGTTCTGGTGGAGTACTGGAGTTGATGGAAGAGCACTCGGTGGTTGATTTATCACATAGCTCGATCACTGTCTGTCGATCTGGCAGGTAGCGTAACCATGCCCTCTGGTTACTTTTCCAGACCTAAAAAAGAATTCTGTGAAACTCAAAAGCTTGTCCCTTTACCAACAAAATGAGTCCAATAAAAGATATTACTTCACCGGCCTTGTCTCTCACGGATCCTGGGTCTAACATGGATACATCATTGCAAACAACAATGGAAGATATTATCTGAGAGGCAGTTATCAAAATGTTGTTACTTAAGGGAACAGTAAAGGCAGGTCTACTTTTAAAATGCTGCATCAGTACAGATGCACCACTGTTTTCCTGTAGTACTATTCTGAAGATGTTCTACACCAATGTGGTAGCTATGTCGACATAGCACTGTCTATAGCAGTAGATTAGGTCAGTATTACTGTGTCGCTTAATGGACGTGGATTTTTCACATCCCCAAGTAACACTTATACCAACAGATGTCTGTTGTGTAAACCAGATTTAAAAGGGAAAATTGTAGACTTGAAAACACTGATAATGTTTCTTTATCATACTGTGAAAGCAAAAATGCTAATAAATTACCTGAACAATTAGTACATAAAGTCTTTAAAATATTATATATACAGGCAGTCCCCAGGTTACGTACAAGATACGGACTGTAGGCTTGTTCTTAAGTTGAATCTGTATGTAAGTTGGAACTGGCATCCAGATTCAGCTGCTGCTGAAACTGACCAGCGGCTGACTACAGGAAGCCCGAGGCAGAGTTTCTCTGCCCCGGGCTTCCTGGAATCAGCCACAGATCAGTTTCAACAGGCTAAATCTGGACGCCAGTTCTTACATACAGATTCAACTTAAGAACCCCAGGCGTCCCCAAGTCAGCTGCTGCTGAAACTGATCAACTCTGCCTCAGGCTTCCTGTAGTCAGCGCTGGTCAGTTTCAGCAGCTGCTTACTTGGGGACGCCTGGGGCCGAGCAGCTTGGGTGCTGCTGGGTTGCTCCAGTAGCGCCGCTCCTCGGCGCTACTGGACCAACCCAG